CGCGATGGGCCACCAGGGCCCCGTTGGTAACGCAGGTCCCCCTGGTGATCCTGGGCTCGTCGGGCCTGAAGGGCCTCAGGGCATTGCTGGTCCACCGGGTGAGTGATGATATGCGTAATATTTGATGTCTTCAATGATAAAAAGCATATATATGCTGGGATGTTCATCCGATCTATCTGTTTAGGGCACATACTTGTCCCGGAAGTGTCTCGAGGCTCATACTTGTGCGATATCAGGCTGTTGCTTAGCGACCGCAGACGGATGAAAGAATAGACCCGACAAAAGTAAGGAAGACCGGAATGGCCACTCTTGGCTTGTTAGCCGTCATCAGCCAGTCATACTCAACCTCAGAGGTAGGCGCCCCCGAGATTCGAACCCGTTGCAGTCGCAAAACGACTTGTAATATACGCTGGAGTGGAACCGAAAAAGCCAAGGGAAAGCGGAGTGGCCATTTCTGGCTTAGTAGCCGTCATAAGCCAGTCATGATCAATCAGAGCAGTGGATCACCCGAAATTCAAACCCGCTACCTTTTGCTCATGGCATATGACGTTTTACGATTGAGCTACGGGACTGTCATTTTTGTCGGTCACGATCGGGAATATGGTAATATTAGGGTGCTCACCGATCTGGTTAGGGGACATTCTTGTCCGAGCACGTTATGAAGCATTGACAGTCGGTAGTAACAATGCTGCTGCATATTAGGTCGATTAACCCCGAAATATTTCCTACAAGAGTTTGGCTAATTTTGTAGCAAAGGTTGTTCAACTAAAATTGTAATAACATTTCATGAGATGATGAAATACATCTCCCCTGAAGGTGCTGTGGGCAAATATTTTTATTTTTGTTGAACAATAACTTAAGAGTTACAAAAATATCCTGGATTTGCACATCAGTAAGGCGGTCGAGGTTTTCACAATTGTTTCAAATGCAATCTTGTAGAAGATGCACTTTTTTCTTACCTCTGAACCTTGTCTTCTGTAGGTCCCCCCGGTCAACCAGGTCCCAGAGGAAATACGGGCAAGCCCGGACCTCCAGGTCCCCCTGGTCCAGTCAAGATCCTTGATTTGACTGCCGGCTACTTCAAGTTTGAGCCCTCTCGAACGCGCCGTAGTGCTGATCCCATGGAGGATATCAAGGACCCTGGTATGTCATCGGTGTTATTTACTGAGCACGGAACCTACAGCCATGCAAGAAACCATAATTTAGGATTTAAGGAGATAAAGACTGTTCCCTTGCCAGAACGAGATGCTCTTACTCGTCTGAGTTTTAAAACTCCCACTGAAGTCCAGCGTCAGAGATAATGGTGGCTAACAAAAAAATACAGCACTTTTAGGGGTAGTAGCTAAGCAAACACCAGTAACGCCAGTCTGTAGATGACCATATACAAAAGCCAGATCGATAAATCGATTGATTGAGCTATCATTAGAGGCCCAGGTTTCAGTCTTATCTTAATTCTGGCGTGGGCAATTATCTTCGTGGCTGCGAGGTTAAATTTGTGACCCGTTTCGTAGTTGTGGACGGCCATTTCTAATCCGCCAGTACGTTCGCTTATGCGCGATCCAAGCATGCGTCCAGTTCATTCTGTGTAGCTACAATGACAGTTTGGGCACGGGATGCGATACAATACACCCGATTAGTTGCTAGGATTCAATCGGTCCTTGACTTTCACGACCCTTGGTGCCGAGTTCTTCGGAGGGTTTTCAAAACAAGCCTATCATTATTAATCGGCGGGATGAAGTTATATAATATCCTCAATTCGGCACTCAGGGAAAGTAAATGCTGATTGGATATCTTTTATCGCGCCAG